TGCACCCATCACTTGGCAAGAGCACTTCTATCATTAATCGTATACTGCCACCCCTTTGTGTTCTGACCTTGAATACTAACTGTTCCTCTTCCAAGCTAAAGACAGTCAGTAGAGCCTGTTTCTTACAAATCCTAACAACACAGTTATTTTTCATTTTAGCTTTGAGGATTCTCTGTTCAGCCCTCTGATTAAAAAATGTGGTGAGTGAATTTTGTGAAAATGTTGTGAAAACGTTGTGAAAACAAAGGTTATGTGAAAATGAACAGCAAAAGGTTACAGACTAATGTGCAAGAAATGGGGATGCTTTTGCTGTTTTCAAGACGGGTGGTACCTCCTCGCTCATGAGTCAGTGGGAATGCAGTGATTGGGCTGCTCTGTTGTGAATTTTACATGTCAAGTCATTATTTGTTCTCTGTGAAAGAAAATATTTGTTCCTTGACAAACCAAGGCAGTCCTTTCCCCTTCCTTTCCTCTTTAGCACACTGGATTTTCAAAGCTCTCACTTTTGGAACATTCTATTTCCAGTCCCGAGAGAGACAAGGTGACGAGCTGTCCTTCCTGATAAAAAGCTTGCAGTATTTTTACATTACAGAGTGGCTCTGTTTAGTTTGTGCTATATTTATACCAGAGGGGAAAAAAAAGAAGTCTTTCCCATCCAGTAAGAGAGAAAATAACTCTGACCACATTATTATGAACAACAAGTTTTTCTTCTACAATGTAATAAATTCATCTGAGCCAGGATTTGTACTGAGGAGGTGTGGTGTTTTCAAATTATGGGGCAGGGAGGGGCAGGAGGTGACTCTTAAACTGGCCTAATTAGAGAGGTCTAAAAATAAAGTAAGAGTAGCAAAATATATATATATATTTATTAAATTCATATAAATAAAGCCACACGAACAGATACTGTTTTTCCTCTCTTTGCAGATCTGGCAGTTGTTTCCTTCTCATGATCTGATCAGGAAGAGGTGAAGAGGCTCTTTGAGTGAATTTGCAGTACTGGGCTCTGTTCCTAGGGCACTTTAGGGTCATGTTAGCACACAAATGGCAGATATTAACACACTCAGATATTACCACTTTATTCTTTTCCATGGGCTCTGACATTATGAGATCCAGAGTCAGGAAGAAGTGTTACTCCTTTCTCACTGTAGCGCTCACCCTATTCAACAGAGACCCCTAACCACACCTGAGGTAGGTAGGCTCAAACTGCACAATGCTTGAAAATGCCTTGACCTTTAGGAACTGCGGGGCGAATAATAGTTCAGTTCTGTGGAGGGAAGGACATCTCTTCTCAGTGTCCATCCATGGTTTCCCTGGAAGAGTCCATGAGCCTGGGCAACTTAAATACAACATGAGAAAGGTCCTTCTCTGCTGACTCCATTGTAAACCATTGTCTAAACAATATTTTTACAGATATTGTATTTGTGTTGATACTGTATTGGACCAGCAGCACACAGAGCATTTGTTATGATCTTCCAGTGCCAGCGAGATATAGAGTGGCTCTAGTTGTGGAAGGGGGATAATGGTGGTCATGGGAGAGGCTGAGAGGGGCATATGTTCTGTTTTTAGATGAGAAGATTGTCTGGGCCCCTTTGTCTCTCTGGGTGAGGCCTATTCTTGGTGTCTCTGTTCCAGTCAACAGAGAGGCTGTTTCTGGATTTCTCAATGGAAATTTCAAAAGATGCCTTTTATTGCAAATTTGTTTTTTTCATCTCCACCTGCACCTTACATGCACCCATCACTTGGCAAGAGCACTTCTATCATTAATCGTATACTGCCACCCCTTTGTGTTCTGACCTTGAATACTAACTGTTCCTCTTCCAAGCTAAAGACAGTCAATAGAGCCTGTTTCTTACAAATCCTAACAACACAGTTATTTTTCATTTTAGCTTTGAGGATTCTCTGTTCAGCCCTCTGATTAAAAAATGTGGTGAGTGAATTTTGTGAAAACGTTGTGAAAACGTTGTGAAAACAAAGGTTATGTGAAAATGAAAGTCTGACTATTATAATTATGCTCTTTCTAGCCATTATTGCAAAATAATAAACACTTAGCACTTCTTATAGTGCCAAGAGCCTTGTGAACATGAATTAGCAATAAGTATCAGGTAATCATTATAATCCCTCTGGTCTGTAACACAGAGAAACTGAAGAAGAACTGTGAAATGACACAAATCTCCCTGCAAGTCAGTGGTGGAGCTCTTTGGGGAAGAGGCCTTTTCTGTGTCCGGAGTGTTTCTGGCTCCTGGCCACTGCCTCAGTACACATAAAGATAACAGTGTTTGGACTTCCCATCTTTGCTCATTCTTCTAAGACTTGGTGCCTCCCATTACATGTGATTTTATCATTAATAACAAGAAAAATGTAAGTACTTCCTTGACAATTTCTGCTGGTAATGAGATTGTAATCTGAATGCTCACGTCCTTTGAAGCACCCATTACAGGTACAAGTACATGGCTTGCTATCTTGGCATCGTTTGTTGCAGTAAGTACTATTTTTAATACTCACATGTGTACTTTGGCTAATAGGATGGTTATTTTATCCTTTGTTTCTTCAGTCACTGCTTTTATATAAAACATGACCCAATGCAGGTGCTTTATTAACATTTACTTTCTTACACGCATCTGAACCAAAAGCAAACCTCTCTCTTTTCATAGTACGTATATTTTACAGCTAAAGACCTGCTATTTCCTGCTATCATCTCTACTTCTGAAGACCAATGCAAAGAAATCCTTTAGCTCTCTGTAATCTCCTTATCATCACTGATTATTGCTTTTACATTACGATGGTTAAAACCACCATTATGTCTCCTGGACACTTTCCTCTTCTGAATTACTTAATTGGAAGTTTGACTTTTTTTTACCTTTAGGCGTTACTTTTCTAGTATGCCCATAATTCTGCTTATCTGTATTTCTCCTGACATTTTCTGTGGTTTCTTTCTGTCAGCCCCACCTGGGCTTGAACCATTTTGTCTTAAAAATGACACGAAACAAATTCCTGTTACTTGTCTTTTAAACCAACTGACTTGTTCTTTATTTTATTTTCACTTTCTCTCTTCTCTTTTTGCTCTATGCAATGAAATGCAGTGGGACTTCAAGAAGACTAATTTAATCAGTCTCAACTTTCCTTCAGGCTGCTTGTGGCTGGAGAAGGGCCCAAACTAAAACCATAAGGTCAACAGTCCTTCCTTCCTGGACCTTTCCCATCTACTGAACAGAGCAGTGTTGAAACTCTGTGTCCAAATCCACATCCAGACTTTGCTAGTAGTCCCTAATTTCATAATGGACTAAAGTAAACTTGGCCTCAGACCAACTCTTTCTTCTAAGATGCTGGCTGTCAGCCTATCTTCATCTGAAATGACTTCCTACGTAACCCCCTTGTACCACTGCGTACAATTGTGCTTGGAGTTTGAATAGAAAGCCTCTTCCCTTTAACTTGTGACAGCAAAAATCAACATCATTAAAGAATAAAATAGGAGGGAAAGTGAGAGGTGGAAGAAGATCTGGTGTTTGGTGCAGAAAACAACACCTCAATATTCTGCTGAGGGTTTTGTCTGGGAACACTGTTAAGGTTGGGGTAATTTTCTCTGATTCTGCCCTCATTTCTGTAACCACCAAGGATCCTTTGTGCACAAGAGAGACACATGAAGCCCTCCCTGCATTACAGATGAAATTGCAGAGCAGTCAGAGAGATCCAGGATTGCAGGGTCTCAAGGAACTTGAAACCTTTCCTCAGGGAGAGGTTTCTTCCTCCTGGTTTGTCCTGGTTGGATTTTGCTAATGAAATCCTTCCTAGGGACATGTTCAGTGGCTTGCTCTACAAGCAGCTCTAGGCTGTCCACATGTACTCTAATTCAATGACACCTCTGCCTGTTTAACATATGCAGCACCAATATTTTAACAAACATTTCCTGCTTATTTAAATGTTTGTTCTTTGATGCTGAAAGCCAACTCCACCACTGGCCCAGGCATCTGAGCCCACTTCCTCTCCGGCAGCTACCATCCAGACAGGGGAACATTGCAACCAAAGCAAGAAAGATTATGAGAGCTTCCATGTGCAACCCAGGAAGTCAGAAAGGACTTCTGTTTCCAGAGTGCGAGCAAACAAGCTGTACCAAGTTTAAGTTTGGCATACCTATATATAATTTTCAGGCAAAGTGTGAGGCTGGGACAAGGTTTGTCTGCTCTAGGGAAGCATTGTGACAGGGGTATCAGTTACAGAGTTCATGTACCACCCATTTGGATTCAGAGATGATACGTCAGAATTTCCTACTTCTGAACAAATCAAGTTTTAGACAGATAGGGGATGATTTTTTAAAAGGTATATGCAAGAAAGAGGAGGCTAAAGTGCAGCAAGAATATGCTGGCGATGCCTCGCTGAAAGGGGAGCCCAGTCACCCCAAGAAACAGGGGCTGCTAATTCACTGGGGGAATAAAGATCCCAGAGAGCCTGGGAAAAACAAACAGGTCCTTCTGGGGAGTGAACTGTTTTTCAGGATTCCTTGGCAGGCAACCAGCCACTCTGCTTTGTAAGGTCTTGTTCTTCCTTGCAAGGAGGAAAAAAATAACTGAAGGGTTCCCGGTTTATTGAATAAGGTCATCATAATGCCCTCAAAAAGACCAGTGCCGCTGCTCCTCATTGTGAGAGCTATGGGGTGTAGCTGCACATTACAGGTGCTTGAATAAACAATATTACCACTTTCAGGAGAGGAGAAAATATATAAAAGACGAGCCTAATGACTTCAGCCCAGCCAGCTTTTCCCCCACTCTTCACAACCCCCCTTCCCGCATCCCAGACAGCCTCCAACCCAATACCACTGCCTGTCTCCGAGTGCGTGACAGCGGAAAAAGGCCTTTTCTCCCACAGGAACAGCCAGTGCAACCCAGATAGGCTGTGGGGAGGTTTAACCCCTTCACTGGCTGGCCACATGCTGTATACCATCACGGGAATGCTGTGCCACATATGTATCTGTTTCCTGAGCTACACATATTTTTTCTTTTACTTACCTTCCCCATTCCAGCATGTGCATGTCCCAGCTTGACCACTACAGGGAAATTCGGAGTTGTGAGCTGAAAGACAAAAGAAGGACATCCTCATTAGTATTTCTTTCCAGCCATTGTATTTGAAATAATTTACTTTTCTTTAGTAGCTTTTATCCCCTTCCTGGATGCTGATGGGAGGATAAAAAGGTCAAATAAAGATTGTCCAGGTGGTAGGACCATAAGCAAATAGCTCTTCACTGGGACCCATATGATCAGAAATGGAGGCCAGGCAGAATTCCTCAGATCTGACCCACTTTTGCTGCCTGATAGCAGTAACTTCTAAAACCCTCTTGTTTTTTCTCGTTGCTTTTCCCATTCTGAACATATGAATGTGTGCACACTCATATGCATGTAAAAAAAAGCTGCACCTGCAAGCTTGAGTAAGTGAACACTTTCAGATGCTGAAAACATCCCATTTGTGAGAAAGACAAGGGTTGTTTGTTTTTTTCCACACAGGCTGCTTTGGCCTTTAAAGTGAGTGTGAGCAGTCCCTCAGCAGCTCCCATTCCTCTCCCGTCAGCAGTGGTGGGTGCAAGGGGAGAGGGAACAGGGGTCAACCCTTGGGTATAACTCACAAAGTCCACCTATTCATAAAGCCTCTTCCTCTCTTCTCTAACTTCAGGGGTGGGTATAGGGAATAAAAGAGAACAAAGAAGGGTTGGAGTCAGCAATAAAAATAGAAAAAATTATGTCATGTCTTCTCCCTGGCTTGCGTGATGTTTACATTGGGCAGGGTCCTGCCATCTGAGCCACGCAAGTGCATCTTAACGCACATGTGGGATTTTACTTGGAGAACTGCAAGTATCCTCTCTGCCTTCTATTCCCCAGTTTCATGCTCATGCAAGGATTCACTTGGAGCGGTTGGGTAAGAGCTGGGTGGCTGGACTGGTAGGAAGTGCATGTGCCAGGAGTAACCAGGATATGTATACCACACCTCCCCTACACAGTGGTTGGTCCATTTCTATGCCTCTGCTTGACATTCCTGTGATCTTCATCTTGTCCTGTGCTCCTGATTCTTGTGATCTGAATGCTATCCCTTCAGTACATAACCTGTTATTTTTTATTGCATATTTCATTTTCTTTAATAGGAGTTCTTTTAAAAGACATTTTTGTCTTTACCTAAATGCCTGAAGTGATGAGCTCTATTCATTAAGCAGTTAACCTGGAGATCTGGCAATGGGAGGGAGTTGAAGTTTGACAGATAAATGGCTCTCCTATTTATTTAAGTTTGAGAATAGATAAACAAATTGTTCTTGTGCTAATTACCAATTGTCTGCATGGACAGGCAGGTGCTACGCCCTAAAGATAGAATGGTGCTGCAGTCTCCATCTGTGGCAGCTCACTATAAATAACAAAATTAGTAATGAACACTGATATCTTTTGCTATTCAGCTGCTTATGTAAAGAAATATCACAGGAGAAGGGAACAGTGAGTGCATCACGTTCTCAAACAACCTGTGTCACTTGTGAAGACCTTCTTCAGACAGAAAGCTGAAGGATCCTCTTCAGACCACAGAAGGGCACACAGCTGCAATAAATCACAGTCTTGGCACAGGCAGGGACCAGCACCCGCTGTTTCAGAAGAAGAGGCAAGAGATGATTGTGATAGGTGGCCATCCTGAAGCCCCATAGTTAAGCATACGTCCAGGCACATGAGTTTGTGCTCTATTTCACCTTCGCCTCTCTAATTCATTGTAAGAGCCCTAAACTTAATTTGCTGCTGGCATAAATGAATCAAATGGAGGACTGCACCTGAGGCTTACTGAAGATTGGGCTGCGGATGGACCGTGCCAGGCCTTTAATGCTGGAAGATGAAAGGTAACTTAGTAGTTAGGGCACCCACCTGCTCAGGCTCTGGGAGACCTGACTCACTTCCCAGCTCTGTCATCCATGCCCCATGCACACTGTTTGAGCCAAAGCGCTTGCAAGACCCAGCCTCTGTTCCCTGTTTGTGAGCGGAGGCGGCAGCTGTTGCTGCTGCACAGGAAAAGCAAGCTGCATGCTGCGAGCCGGCCTGATACCCTGGCAAGGAGGCCAAATAAGTGTTTGGGATAGATAATGTTATATCACCAGCTCAAAGCAGCCAGAGGCAGGAAGCGATGTCTCTGCTGCCCTGTTTGTGTACCCTACCTGCGGGTTTTGCTGAGGGAGCCTGGCTCGAGCGTGGGGCCCAGGAGTGGGAAGCATCTGTTTTCCTGTGTACATGCAAAGAAAGTTTGGGATCCAATAAACAACCCAAGTTTACTGCTAGCCTGGAAGAAACCACCGGCAATGACAACACTCTGCTCAAACGTCTCCCCTTCTCTTTGCTTCTTGGAAACATGAGCTCAGCTTTCTTGGTAAGGCTTGGCCTCATCCCGTGTAGGGGTGACCAGCTGGTGCCAAAGCACACTGGAGTCACAAGCCACTTGGGCTGGCCATAGTGCCTGGGGCTTGGGGTGAAACACAGATCCAGACTCTGACTATGCAGCAGCCTCGCTGGGAAAGCTGCGGCTCCGGGGAAATGCTGGCGCATGGTTTGCCAGGAGTCTGCTTCTGCCACTGAAACCCCACCAAATTTCCATGCACGTGAACCTGCCTTATGGAGGAACCAATGAGAGAGAGCAGCACGTACACTTAGCTGCATTTTGTAATGGGTTAATCTAGTGACAACGGAGTGCCCTTAGTCTGTGCTGAAGTTAAGCGGAATCAAAAGCTCTCGATAGTCCACAGGACTAAAGCAACCAGAGTCCACAACCACCAAATAATGGAGCTAGGAAGGCCTTGCTAAAGTGGTGGAAGCGGGCTGAACTCCACCGCAGTCAAGGGAGATATTGCCAGCTTCCACCAGAGTCTTGCTGGGACCCAATTCCCATTTCTGTTGCTAATAAAGTGGCCAGCAAGCATACTTGGCAAGCACCCAGATGGACAGGGAAGCCGAAGGAAGGGAGAATGTATTATACACGCCACCATGAGGCAATTCACACACATACATGGTGAGAAGTCCTGGGGGTGGCCACAGCCACCACCAGGGCAGACCCCTGAGATGAGTATTTACACATATTAGTCATAGATTTGCTGGGAAAGACGATGCTTACAATCAAAGGATAGCACCAGAGTTTAATAAGAAAAGCATGTTTTTACTGAAATCATGCAAAGAAATATGTTTGTGTCTTTCTATGTGTTTGTTTATGTGTTGTAAGGGCTCTTTTTTCTTAGAAAAACACATTGATGCTTTTAAAATGTGCACGAACTGTTGACAGGGCTGGTATAGATGATGTCTGCGGGTTTTGGGATGGGACTGTAGCACTGCAGCTAGTTCAGTGATCAGATGCAGGGTGTTAGTTCATATGCATAACTCAACCCTTTGAATTAAAATCCTGTAAATGTATTCCCAGATGTTGTCACACGAAAGCCTTGAGATGGCAAGGTTTACATATGTGACTACAGCTCAAGCAGGAGTTTGAATCCTGAATTAGGAACTCGGCAAAGCCATCTTTGGTAGGAGGGAAGGGAGAGTCATGAAGTTATTTCCAACTTACAACACTGGTGGCCCAAAGTATATAATTTTAGCCCCTGATTTTAAGGGCTCTGCTCTGTGTGTAGTGTCACTGCAAAGATCATTTTGCAGTTAATCAGTATTTTGACGCTGGTGTGTAAAAGTGAGTGCCGGTATGCACACATTAGCCTCTATTTGAAAACACATGGCTGTAAACTATGACACTTTCTCCTTTCCCCTCTGCCCCTCCTGTCCAACAAATAATGAGGTTTTCAATACGTCTTGTAAATATATGAATATTTTCTGTATTTACTGCTGGTGGAGCAGTAGAACAGAGTTGGATATAAATTGATCTGAAGGGAGGAATCTTAGATGAAACCTGATCTATCCCATAAATACAATGCTTTCCACTCTTTTGTTTCACTGAGGCCCTCAAGAGAGATGCTGATCGTAGGTCTGTGGTTTTGTGTACTGACCTGTAGTCCATAAACAATGCAGAATGTCTCTTTTGATTTCCTTCTGCCATGTTTAGTTTTGTGCATTAGTTCACATTACCCATCTCATCATCTCATACAATGCAGTTCCAGTTTCCAGTATTATTCTTTCTTCTGCAAAGCCTTCCCAGTCAATGCTAAAATGAATAGTCCAGGGTGCAATGTCATCATGGATAATATTAGGAAGGATTTGGGGAGATGGGAGATGAAGACATTAAAACTTTGGTCTCTTGGCACCAGTATTGTATTCCCATAGCATCGAGTGTTTTCAATCAGGCCAGAAGCCCCCATAGCACAAGGTAGTGTAATTTTTGCTTCACCCTTCCCCCAGAAGTAATACTGTGAATTTTTCAAGCTTTTATACTCTAAAACTGACCTTTCTGTTTATTTAGCTGCCTTAACTTCTATAATGACAAAGTCTGTTCTGGGTGGGTACCTAATGGATTATGGGAATGTTGTTCATGCACTTGAGAGCTAAATGTTGAAAGTAATGTGTGTGGCACTTCCCTGGTATCAATTAAGTTGGAGGAGCAGTGAATATATATGATTTCCTCTAAAAGCAAGCAAGCTGATTCAAACCTACAGGAAAGTAATGATGTCATGACATGATGTCATTGTGTTTATGGAACTATCTTACTGAAAATCTGAGCTGAAGGTCAGCACTGGTTGCATGCCAGCCTTGCCAAGCATGGCAAAGTCAGGGCTGCATAGTGAAATACGGAGGAGAAGCAGTAGTGTTCCCTATTATTCACTTACCCGCTCACGAGTTGACATAATCACCAACTGCATGCAGCATGGCTCACTCAGTGGATTAATACTGTGGCCCCATGGAGGTTTGTGGTGGCCAATGACTATGACAGACAAGTCCTTCCCTTCTGCTGTTTACTAGATCAGAAATAGTGTAAGAAACAACAAGCAACGAAGGGAGAACATGTTGAACAATAAGAGTTGCCAGCATTAACATCTGTGCTCTATTAAAGACATGTGATACGGATTCCTTTAAAATGCACACGTGTGTATTCATTACTGTATTATAATTATAGCACAATGAAGAAA